AGTTAGAGCAGTAATTGTACAAAAATTGTAAAAATAAAAACAAAATAAAATAAAATATTCAAACATTTTGGATTCAAATTTCGTCAGTCAATATGCTCTATCCAGAACTCCTTAATTGGGAATGTTTAGTTTCACCTGGTTTAATTTTGTAATAAGTCTTCTTTAAGGGACCTTTTGGCTATCTGATTATAATAAATTAATTGAAAAAAATAAATCAACAAATCAATCGATTTGCAAAATAGTCCTTAATTCCAGCCCTACCTTATATCTTCCTAGAACCGCAGGGCTATATGTAGAAATAGATCTAAATGACAAGGGACTTTATTAGGAGAAAGGGTTTAGTCATTAAACTGCTGTAACTTAATTAACCAAACTAGTGGACAAGTAAATTTTTTTTTCATTTTATGAATCACAAAAAAACTAAACCCACAAATAATTCCGTAAGAAATATTTTTAAAACACTCCCATCAGTTATTAATTTAAGACAAATATTTCTGCCATGTTTAAAATGATGAGTAATTCTTTAGGAAAAGTAGTTTAAAACAAAACCCCTCCAGTTTTGGGCAAAGCGGTTAATTAAAAATGGTGGCAGATGGGTTTTCGCCTTTCTGGTGGTAAACTTGATCCTCATAGATTATAAAATTATTAGTGCATCTGCTTATATGGTTCTGATTCTTCAGTCTCCCTCTGCTGTGTAATTTGGCACTGAAAGCAACCCATTACCGACGAAAGTTTATGGAACAGTCGGCAGGTTCTCTTGCCATGTTCGTTTTCATGCATCCCAAAGTGTGCAAACTGGCAAAGGCAACCTTTTTGTCTACGAGTGTGCTATATATGGTGCCAAAACAGGAAAACTTTTAACCATATCCAGTGCATCTAAACATCCTTCATGTCAAAAATATTTTTTATACATTCAATGAATACATTTTATTTTTCTTTATTTTTCTTTTACGATATTTAGACTTTATGAAATGGGTGGAAAGGCAAGAGGAAGGAATAGGCAGATAGATAATGGATGAAAAATAGATGGATAACAGCTTTTTACAGCGCAATTGACATCCAAGGATCCTAATACGTAGGTTTTTAAGAGAGGCAGAATTCAAAAGTCAGTCTTGAATGAAAATCTGCAGCCTTTGGGATAAGAACTGATGCAGTAATGCCGGTAGAATAAATAACCACCCCTCTTGATGATGGGGCTGAGCAGAAACCTAAAAGTAAAACCCAGAAGTTATTTTAGGATCCCTCCTTTGACAGTAGTGTGCTTCTATAATAAGACAAGCCACAGTCAGACCCCACCCTGTAAATCCCACCTCTGTGCCCACTTCAAGGCCAGGAAACAATAACCCACAGAAGCACACCCTTGTAATGTTCCCCCGTTATCTTTTTTTTCCGGAGATCTGTGTAAATAAACTAGGAAGTGAGGAGACCTTGTAAACTTTTCAATGTTTATGTTCACCTTCTTTGCCACTCTCTCCTTCTCTCTCTTCCCCTGCAGTGCTGAGTTTCTGAGTGACTTATGTCTCCCCGTTTTGAGGACAGCAGTTTATTTTAAGGACTTCTTTTCCTCTTCAGAAGTAGAAAAGTTGCACATCCCTACAGAATAAATTTACCAGCAGGGAAGCATGAGAACAAAAATATACCACGTTTTAGATTTGTGTGCATGAGTCACCGCATTAACCGGCGATTGTGTTTATTGTTTATTTTGCATGAGCAAGCAGGCATCCGATACATGTAGATGTACATCAAACAGACGACGATTTGCTTGTTTTCACGTGTCCGTTTGAGTGTGTCGCTGTGCTTTCATGATTGGGCTGGGTTGGTCTTGTTTTTCTGGCAATCGATTAGGCAGCCCCAGCTCAGGCTTCTCATGGGATGATGCGATAAGCGCTCACTTCCTAGAAGTGTAAGTGTGTGTGTGCAGCAGTGGATCAATGCAAGACTAATCATCCCGCAGGGGCAAGTGTGAGGTCCAATCGGCCTGTTCAAACAGCTCGTCCAACCTGACACACAAACACTTTGATGCCTGACTGATTACTGGATTGCTTCTGCTTCTGTCCACCACCCACTGGCATTACATGCACTCTATAACCAGACTTTAATATTTTATAGAACGAAAAACAACAATGAAACAGCATAATAATACAGATGTGTTAAAGATTTAGTGTAGTGTTATATTAGGAGGAATAAGCCTTAGATAGTAAGAAGTCAAACTGCATGTTTATTAATAGCCACTAAAGTAAAAGTTCACGTCTACTATGTTGACATTACTATAACAGAGGCTTGTATTGTTTCATGATAACATCCGTAATGCAACTGACTGTTTACTCAGTTAAAAGGTTACATTACGGAAAGAGCAGCTTCTCAGCTGGATCTAGGTCTGGAGTTTGACTGTTTAGACAATAATATGCTTTGATTATGCCTCTGGCTGCACATTTGGAGTCATTCTCTTACTGAAAAGTGAACTTTCACCTCTTCCTCAAGTCTTTTGTTGCCACTAACAGATCTTCTTCGAAAGCTGCTCTGTATTTAGCTCCATCCATCTTTCCATCAACTCTGACCAGCTGCCCTATAATGGAGACGCAGCCATGCTTCTTTGTTTGGAACCTCATTTAGGAGGATAGGTAGGCTTAGTTCTCACTAACAACATTTTGTATGTTGATAAAATTAGAGCTGCAACTAACGATTATTTTGCAAATCGATTAATCTCGCAAATTTTTTTTCAATTAATCGATTAATAATTGGCTACCAAAAGGTTCTTTAAAGAAGAATTTTTACTAAGTTAAACCAGGTGAAACTCAAATGTTTCCACTTAAGGAGTTCTGGACAGAGCATATTGGCTTTTATCTTGAATGTAAAATCTTTACATATTTTTTTCATTTATTTACAATTGCTGCTCAAGGTGGGTTGCTCTGTCAGCTAAACACATTTTAGAGTCTTCACACACCGGTTAATGACTAATCGATTACTAAATTAGATGACGATTATTTCAGCCGAAAATCACAATTAATCCAATTGTTTCAGTCCAAGATCAAAGATATTCATAAAGGGTCTGTTTTTTGATGAACATTTATCTCAAAGAATAAACATTTGTCAGATTTCCTTCCGTATGTAAAGTTACAAGTAGGGGTGCACGATATAATCGGCGCCCTATCGGTATCGGCCTTAAAACTGAATATTGGACATCGACCACCCCACCGATATTTAACCCGATATTTGATAAGCTTCTGAGTTTCTAAAGTCTAAAAAAAAAAAAATACCACTTCTTCCTCAAAAACTTTTTTTACAGACTTAAAAACTTCTAAAGACGAGGGAAAAAATATTGATACATTAAAATATCACAATATCTTCATATGCTGATATATTGCCATTTAAAAACACCATATCAATCTCTTTTACTAATGAAATATTGCTATATGTCATCGTTATGCAACGAAATCCCCCGAAAATCCACAAAATTTTGCCATATTTTTATATGTTGATATATTGACGCGGTATCGATCTATGTTACAAACAAAATCTCACAAGATTTTGCAAAATATCACGAGAGTATGTAGCAGAACGATGAAATTTCACGAGATTTTGAAAGTAAAATAGATCAATACCGCGTTTTAAAAAATCAATTTGATATCAGCATATGAAAATATATTTGAGTATATTATTTTTCAAAGTGTCAGAAATGGATAACAAAACTGCTATTTTTTACGACTACTTATTTTTGTCCAGCTTTAACATCTGTATCGATATCGGTTATCGGCTACATGAGTTTTAAAATATCGGCATATCGGATATCGGCCAAAATCCCAATACCGTGCATCCCTAGTTACAAGCATAACAATCTGCAAGCCTGCAAAAAATAATTATAAAGAAAAAAAACATCCTGGAGTCATGGCACAAAACAGACACTTTTACAGATGAAAATACAGAAACATTCTAAATCCTCCAGAGAAAACATCTCTCTGCAATGTTTTTTACTCAAGTCTCTGTGCCCACACTTTCTCCTCAGTGGATAAATGACAGTTTTGGGTGGTAATGGCTGTTTAACTCTGAAGCTCAAGCTTTCTATCATTTCGCTGGCCTATGTGTGTGTGTTGCGAACCCACGCATGCATGTCATTATGACAAAAGCGGCTTTTATTGCGTCAGCCTGGCTCTGTTTGAGGGGCGTCACAGGGTCACATCATAACTGAATTAGTTAAGGTTCAACAGGGCTGAAGAGTGGGTTGGGGGGGGAGGTCCCGGTGGGTTAAGGATGTGTGTGGATGGCGCGACTAGATTCAGTGCATTCCTGCTTGGCTGGACCTTGGTTATGCTAACAGGCTACGGAGATAATCTAGTTAGGAGTGGAAGCCATGCAGGGACAAGCAGAGTGGGGCTGCTGGCGAGTGGGTTCATCCCGGGTCAAGGTTAAAGGCTATAGCAGGTGGTGGAAGCTGAATAGTAAAGTGGGGGTGTGGTGTCTGAGTGGAACGGAGGCAGATGATGGGGCATGGGGGGGAGTGGGCACACAGTGAGGCTTGGCAAAGGGCAGCTGTGTGTGCATGTGGTGCAGTTTGACTACGGTCAACAGATGGACCAGGGAGAATAAAAGGGCTTCAACACTGATCAGATCGCCTCTTATTAAATCTTTCCCTCAGCTCCACTTTTTAATACCATTTATAATTATGATTTTATATAAAAGTTTTCATACGTATATAAACCTGAACCCTGTTCTGTTGGTAATTCTCAGCTTATGCTATGTGTTAGAAAAGGAGCAAACAAGGGAGGAAAAAAGCTGAGTGAGGCTGATAGGAGAGAAGGCTGCGTCAACACTGCATCTGTTTTCACACACAATTGAGTTACAGGCAATAAATTCTCTTTTCACAGCTTGTGCAGCTTAAATGTATTAAGTCATGCACCCACACATTTCACCTCGAGATATTTTCTCACTCTCATACAACACCTCATAGTGTTGATTTCACTTTAGATCATTGGGTGTTGAAGTGAGAAAACGATGCAACATACTTGCTTTGAGGATGGCCTCATTGACCTCGATCTCCCCTCTGTTGGGATCGTCGTACTCCAGGTGAGGATAGTAGTGCATGGCTTCGGGACTAGCGCCGTCGCTGGAGAAGCCGTTGGATATGGAATCTCTGGGACTCTCGGAGCCGCCACGTCGGTCTTCCTCGAAAATGGCCACCAGCTGGAAGAGATATACACCATAAGGGCTCTGCTGTGACATTTACCAATGAAAAATGTATTTTTCTGACATTATATCTGATTATATAGGACCAAGAAAAGAGCCATTTCATATATGGCTCCCCAGAAAAAGCTACTTAACAAGCTTCTTTTGCTAATTCTCCAGATGTGACAGGTTACAAGTATGAGAAAAACAAACAGAGGTTTGGTGAACAAAGAGGACAATCTTAGCAGAGATCCTGTAGATGGGGTGGGTCGGTAGAATTAACGTGTGGCGAGGTGTGTACGTATGAAATTAACAGTCAAATGAGATCTGACAAGAGAATGAGAGGCTGTCAAACACAATGACACGGCGGCCACAATGAGAGGACGGGAAGAGACAGACTGGGCTGAAAGGAGCAGGGGATGAGGGCAGGAGAACGACAAACTGCCCTAATTGAGAGGGGGACACGATGGCAGGTCGGGAGGATGGGGGGGGGGGAAATGGAGGAAATGTTTGTGTGCCACTGCAGCTACACGCCTTGATGAATGGTTGCGTGGCGGCGCGGCGCTCTCATTAGCCGAGGCTGCCGACGGAAATGACCACTTAATGAAAAGCAATAACCCAAGTGGAACAAGGGATGAAAACGAAACAACAGATGAGCTGAGGACGTCAATTAACAAACCGTGGCAGCTATGTGTGTGAGTGTAAACAGTGAGCATGGAGGAGGTAGAGGGATGGGCACCATCCATCAAGGCGCAATGCCACCTCCCACCTGAAACCTCTCGTGACTCAATATCCTCTCGACACCTGCCCAGAAGATTCGTCAACTGTATCCGTGTGTGTACGGGCATTAGCATCAGAGTGTGCCGAGGGACAGATGAGGAATTGAGGCGCTGGCGGATGCAAAGGAGAGAAAGAAGCAGTGCCAGGAAAACAATCTGATTGTGCCAGTTGATGGATGCTTCTTGAGCTTTCGCTCCTCTTTATCTGCCTTCCTCTTTCTCTGCTTATCGCACTCCCTCCCGAGCCGCCGTCTCCTTCTCCAAACTCACTGACAGCATCAATCAAAGGAGTCGTTTCGAAGCGTGTCGTGATGAGAGAGAGCGCGCATAGATGCAGCTGTGACCTTCCCACAAAAAAACGATTTGGTTGTTTGGAGCAGCAACTTATTTTAATGCGTGCTGGGGAAATGATCATCGGCTTTTTGCAGGCTTATTCTTTTATGGCTCACAGAGGCAGGGAGTGATGCTAATGTAGGCTACGCTGCTGCGTTCGCTCATCACTCAAACACTAAGTATCAACAAAATGAATCATATGCTGCATCCTTTCAAAGTTCAAATGGACCTTATGTGCTGCTAATCTGTGCCACTTCAAGGTCCAACCACTGAATATACCTTTTGCCTTGAACCAAAAAAGAAAAAAATACATCTACAGAAAACATAACATGCAATGCCTAGCAAAAAATTCTCTCAGCCTGTGGCACTTCTTTATTTTTAAAACAAATATGTTATTATGAAATAACCCAAGAAAAACTAATTCCCTATTCAGTAACTTTTTTCTTTGCATTTTTGAAAATTAAAAAACAATGAATTTGAATTTATGCCCTATAAAGCATGGACTGTAGCTAAGGGTATTTTGGTAATAATTGTCATATTAGATCATATTTCCTTCTACTTCACAACTATGAACTTCTATATGTGTGATACAAAAATCTAAAAGCACATTTAAGTTTTGAACTTTTTCTATACTTTAAACTTAAAAAAGTGAGATTAAACTGAAGCCTGCAATGATTGCAGTCAACTCCTATTTACCAATAATGATCCATTGCAATCACATTCGATATCAGTACTTTTTATCCAACCATTTAAGAGTCCAGATTTTGTTGGTCACTATAAAGTATATGTGGAAGTTACAGCCAAAACAAATTGTATTGAATGCCCTGAGGCCTTAACTATCGGAGCTATCTGTATATAGCATAAAAATACCACCAGCTGAAACTAGTAGTTTAAGAGAAAAGAAAGTTTTCCATTAAAACTACTGGGTTTAAAATCGAAGATGGCAGAGATGTCAAAGAGAAGAATACAATTCGTCTTTTTGATCACTTTTGTACCAATGTGTTCATGACTGAAGCACTTGCTTTCATCTACTGGACCTGTGTGTATATATATATACATCAAGAATACTAAATAGAATTGGCTTTGGAAATAGCAAAAATGACAAAAAATGATTGTTGCAGTTATCCTATTAAGCATAATCCAGGTTTCTAACAAGAAAGGGGGGAAACACAATACAGACATTAAAGAAAAGAATTCACTTAACTAGGTGATTAAAGGAACTTTGAAAGTGAATAACCTGACATTAACAAAATGTTACTTATAAAATTAAGCTAATTCTATTATAGAGAGGAGGATGTTTTATGGTTTTATACAGAAAAAAGGAATACTTTTGATAAGAGGGTAGTGTTTTGTTGTTAATTTGGATGGGGTACCTTAAATCTACAAATATAAAGTGGAAAAACAATAGAAATAGTAAAAAAAAAAGCTGGATTAGAAATGAGAAAAACTCCAGTCTGCATTGAAAGTCTGCAGTTCTTCATTTTTACTAGCTAGGAAAACTGTATATTACCAATAAAAGTCTTAGGTTTGATGTCAGTTCAAACATTTCTGTCATCCATCTCAATAATGTGTGTGTCTGTATGCCAACAAAAAATGTGCATAGGGATCTTATTTCTTTTTTTATTTAAAACACATGGTGCTTTGAAATGTTGTCCTTTCAGCCGCGCATCAACGTGCGCTCTTGGAGGATGCTGTGTCTCTGTATGAAGAGCGATACCTTTCATGGTTCATGGTGTGTTTACTTAACACAAATGCTTCTTTCATTTCTTCCTTACTGTGGTTAGTTTCTTCAGAAACAAATTGCCTTATTTTCCCCACTGTGTCCAATGGGGGGATACCGATATGGACCCAGGGAGACTGCATGTCTACTGCAGCTGAATAATGTCCCCCCTTTGTCTCATTTTCATAAACAAACAGAAGCGAGCACATGCTGAAGCTCCATGTCAAACACAAACAGCTGAACCCTGCCACACACAGCCAGGTTATGAACTTCTGTTAGTCACGACGCGGTGTGTTTTTGTCATGTGATCAGTCTAGCTGTGAGGAGTGTTTCTGTGTGCTGGATGGCCCCCAAAATTACAATAAAATACATTAAAAAATGATTGAAATTATGGGGGCTGACAAACTATACTATCACCTTTATATATATATTGCCTCAGGATACAAAATAAGATGCTGTAATATATGCAGCATCCAAAGGGAATAAACGTATATTAACATATTGTTGTTTAAAACTTAGCTTTCTTATTCTAGAGAGTTATAGGTTTCATATGGCCTCAGGGTTCAAGAGAACAAAACTCCAGATAATATGAAAAAACTGATCAATGTAGGGCTAGGCAACCATCTATCAGGGTTTTTTCTTTGAAGACAAAAAAGAGAAAACATGCTACAGGTCCTCTGATAGAGGTTAAGGTTTTTAATCCATTTAAATGTTGGACCTACTGATCAGACCAGATAGACGTCAAACATCTCTTCATATATTTTAACTATTACTTTCTATCCAAAATTATGTACAACTTATTGCTGAAACTTCTCATACATTGGTAAATTGTTGAGTAATTGACTTAATTACATTTAACAAAGACGGCATTATTCATACAGTTAGCTATAAAATGATTAGATATTTTTTGTCATTTTCTATACACGTGTAAACAAAGAGACATTTTGTTTAGAACAGCTCTCTAGACAATTTCATTTTTTAATGTGCAGCCTTGATAAGGCAAGCAGCAGTTGTTGTTGAGCTGCTACTACTGCCTCCAGCTCCTGAAGCACTCGCTTCTCCTGGCTCAGGGTAGGAAGAGGACGATGATGACGATGATGTGAGGGTGGTAGCCCCAAGAGTTACAGAGGCAGACAGAGGATGCTGGAGAAGGTGTGGAAGCCGGAGGGGGCCGGGAGGAGCCAGCTGGGGATTTTTCAGCAGGGAAGCATCTAGGGTGCTCTCCTCATTTTCACCTGCAGAGGGTTGTGCTTCCCCTCTAGATGCCGAAGATTGCCTTGGAACAGTCTGAGAGGAGTTTCCATTCATCCAGAGCTCTTTTTTTTTTTCTATCGGCGCAGTACAGCATCAGCCCCTTTCAGGCCAACAGCACTGTCCGGTATGCTGGAGGCAGCCAAGACCCCGTCAGAATGATGGCACACAAGTTACATATCTCCTTTTTTTGAAGAGAGTTCCAGTCGGACATTATGCATTTTGTTTTCCAACGAGTGGACGTTGGAGAGCAGGATTGATGGAAGCGGTTGTCTGTGGGGATCTCTCTTTAGCTTCGCAATTAGCCCCCCTCTGAAACCTCGCTTTCTCCGTCTCACGCATCTCTTCCTTCGTCCGTTATTTTCTGCTGTTATCTTGTTGACATCCGTCCGTAGCACTCCGCAGCTTTTTAAACGGTGAAAAATGTCAGTATTTAAAAACATTTTGTGACCGTAGCTCAAGCAGGCGTTGGCGATCATAGATGTGGGTTTGATGTCTAGTTTTAAGCGGCATATTTGTGAAATTTGTCGAGAGGAGCTGCTCTTGGCCGCTGCCTTGGAGCGCCATCATGCTACAGTGTAATTCGTTGACAGTTCTTCATTTTAAAAGTACTACCTACTTACCTACCTACCTACATACATACCGACATACACATATATGCAGAGTTGTGCATGAACGCGTAATGAAAGGTGAACTGAATGGATCAGTTTTGAAGTAATGAGCATAAACGAAAGCGATGCTTACTCTGAGAATAATAAGCAGCACACACAGCTCACGCTCATGTTCAGTTAATAAAAACACTTTTGACTGGATAATGTCAGGTTTTACAGTACCTATTATGCAGTGTTGTGCCTGAACGCGTTCATTGAACGAAAGTTCATGAACTCGTTCATATTTTGGGCGAACGTGAACTGAACGTAGTGCATTATTGCCTG